TGAATAAAATTTAAAATACTAACAACAACTTACAAAGCCATCCACAACTCTGCCCCCAGCTACATCACCAACCTGGTCTCAAAATATCAACCAAACCGCTCTCTTCGATCCTCCCAAGACCTTCTGCTCTCTAGTTCCTGTGTCACCTCCTCCCATGCTCACCTCCAGGACTGCTCCTGAGCTCCCATCCTGTGGAACTCCCTACCCCAATCTGTCCAGCTATCTCCTAATCTATCCACCTTTAGATGATCCCTGAAAACCCTTCTGTCGCAAACATGCGCAACACACAGTGAAGTACGCAGACTCTATCTTGCTAAGAGTAGCCATTTTTCCCTTATCCTTCCCCTACCCCTCCCTCTCACTGAGAGGAGACATTTGGCCAGTGTGTGTGTGTGTGCTGGTTATGGGTCACTGGCCGGCCAAGGCATCTCTGAGCTAGGTGCCGAGCTGTCTGTGAAAGCTGTATCCTTTCCCACCTAGGAAGAGAAAAGGCCAGCTTTCCCAAGAGAGTTGGAGCCTCACTGTCCAAAGTACCTGTGTAATTTCACACCTCGTAAAAAGATAAAGGAGCCTTCCCAGGAGTTCAAGGCATTCCCTAAAAGCACACACCAGATAACATTTTTAAAAGAACCATATTTCCCCTATGTCTCATATCTTGGAATATGAAAGACTTACATAAAAACTGGACACCTTGTCAGATGGCCAATGAGCAGGCGAACAGTTTGATGGGTCACTCGCTTTGTCTCGGACCATCAGGGAAGCCGAAACATAGAACTCGTGAACTGCGCAGTATATAATTTCATAATTCATATCTAAATAATCCTCAGACTTGTCTGCATAATAATATACCCCCGGGTGGACTGTCGCTTGTGCAGATGGAAAGTTATGGACCAGAATATGAGTTACGAAAGATGTTGGCTCTAGTTTAGGGCTGACGATTCCTCCCTAAACAGGGGATTGGTCCTTGACTTCAGAACCATCCCCTGCTGGGGAACACAAAAAGAGGCTGTCAGGCCTAAGAAAGTTGAGTTGAAGACATCTCCCATTTTAACATCAATACCAACTGGGGGAGACCCGTGCCCCTTCTGCTCAGAAACTTGATCTGCTTACATTCAAGGCTTAATGGCAAGTACCTTAACCCTTTAACCTCTCTCTGATATCTCTTTGTTGTGCTGTTATTCTCTGTATATATATCTTAGTTACATCTTTTTCTGTAAATATTTTTATTGCACCCATTTGACCTTTTAGTAATAAATCTTTCTTTCTGAAAGTGTTGAACTGTTTCTAAAGCTCTGTAATGCAATTTACGAATCCCTGCCTCTAAAGAGAACGCTACTGTTTGTTTAACCCTCTGTATAACAGGCCTGTGTTATGACTGTTTTATACAGATGATTATTTCAATCATTATAGTGTTATAACTGATAATGCGAGTTTCCTCTTTCTCTGTACAAAAAGGAGGTGGTGGCAGTGTGTAGGGTTAGTTGCGTAATTAACCCGACCCACTAACAATCGCACAGGCTGGCGGTACATCGATTGTGGTCCGTTAGCTGGAAAATCATTGTGCAGAGTGCAGCTGGGCGTGGCATTGTTACGCACGTCACATCGTGGTTTTAGATTGGCTAGTCCTCTGGTCACGAGTTTGGTGGGAAGGCCTGGGGTCCGACGCCACGATCGTGACATTTTAGATCTTGCGATCGTGACACCTTCTCTTTAAGAAGCCTATCCTGATTCTAACTAGTAAACTGCGTTTTACTTCCTCCATCAGCTCATCCCCCACAGCCATTACCTTTTATATCACTCAACCCTCCCTCCTAGATTGTAAGCTCTAATGAGCAGGGCCCTCTGTTTCTTCTTGTACCAATTTGTATTGTAACTGTAATGTCTACCTTCATTTTGTAAAGAGCTGCACAATCTGTTGGCGCTATATAAATTCTGTATACTAATGATAATAATCATCTAAGTGTCAAAGTGAGAAGCCAGGGGTAAGTATATATTCTAAGTACATTTTTTAGTACTACTATCATACAGTGAGAAAGAGGGAGGGGACCCTGCATTCTTGTGCCAGGTCTGTGTTAAAGTGTATGTAAACCCCAGTTTTTTTTTTGTTTGGGATAGAAAAGGACTTTTACCTTACTCTCTGTCACAGTAATAGTGGTCACTAGAAAAAATAAGGGATAGGTAAATCTTCCCAGCGAAGATATGGACAGCAATAAACACTTGACAGAGGGTCTAACCCTACCCCACTCTATCCAGAGCTAAAATATATTTTGCCTTTGCCGCCATTTTTTCATTTGGAGAACATGTGGCAGGGTGACAATGCAAGAGCATTTTATAAAAATTAGAATTCCATATAGAGCAGAGGGATTTGTGATATGTGAATACTTAAGCCCCATACACACGATGAGAACATTGGATGAATGATCGTCCTTCTTTTTTTGCATGCTAGTCTCATATCAAAAATGAAGAGGTTACTAAAGTTACGAAAATTCTTGTAGGACAGAAAGAAAATTAGGAAGTGATGTAATGTATTTGTATTGTATTTTTGGATGAAAACTACTGATTAAACAAAAATCATATGATCTAGTATCGTATGTGAAAAATTTTCAAGCTTGTCCCTTCGATCAATTTCGGACGAAAGCTGTATACTAACAATCATATTATCGTACAATTGCTTCGAAAGTGGCGTTTTTTCGTACAATTTTCTGATTGTATGTGCTAGGCTTAACGCATAAAAACACTCTAAATTTTATTGTTTCCATATAAAACAGGGTTTTATAACATTTAGAGATTTTCTTGGTTAAACCATGAAAAGATCCATAGCAACATCATTGTTGTATGATATAATCACATAAAATCTTGCATATGCTGGCTTTACATCCAACCCGTTTCTTAGAACAAAGTCTACTTTTTCAACAAAGCAAATGCAAGCAAGTGATAAAGATATTCTTATGAAAAAGCAAACATATTAAATTACATACATACTGTATATGCATTGCTAGATCATCATCTATTATATATGTTGTAAATGATCCAATACAGATCTCATCAAGGCCATTTGATTAAATTTCCCCTTGCCACAAGAAGTTGAGTGAAGACAGTGTAGCAGAATGTCTTAAAGAGAACCGGGAAAAGTCCTGTTCGTTGTTTACACATCTCCCAGGCTTCTCTCGTACACTTTTAGAGACCTCTGATTCTCTGTCCAGTTCAGGTTTTGCACCTCTCTCTTTTTGGTAATATAGGATCACCTGGTAGTCAGGGTCAGTGCTCTTGAGCCTGGGGAACAGACAAGTTGTGTCTGTGAGAGCTGCAAGGTTGGTGGAAGCTGTAAAATTGTATGCGGAGACTGACAAGCATTAGACTTGTTCAGTCTGCTAATTAGGATGTGGATGTTGTGTATTTAGTGCCAGGACATTGTCAGGAATGGACTGGCCAGCAATGGTGGGACTCACCTGCCTTTTGATCTGCAGTACCAGGGCTGGCCAGCGGGTGCTCCCAGCAAAGAGACTCAACCTTTCAGCCAGCTAACACCTGGAACTGATGATACTGGTGTATTTAAGGGATGGCCAGACTTGCAGACTCTGCCTTGGTGTTGTGTTTGTCCTGGGCCCTGTATCTGTCCTGCATCCTGTTTCTGTTCCTTTGCTGACCCTGCCTGATCTGAACCGCTGCTGACTTCTCCTGCTCTGATACCGGCTCGCTCCTGACCATCCCTCTGCCTGACCCTCTGTACCACGCTGCTTGCTACCTGCTCTGATCCCTGGCTTGTGACCCTGACCATCCCTCTGCCTGACCCTCTGTACTACGCTGCTAGCTACCTGCTGAACCTGGCCTGTGACCCCGACCCATCTCCGCTTGCTCCCCCTGTACCTACCTGCCCTATTGATATTGACCCGGCCTGCCTGACGACGCTTGCTTGTATGTACTGTTATCTGTGGGTGGTTGGTTTGGTTTGTTTGCACTGTATTATGTTTTAGTATTGCACTGCGTTTATGTTTGTATGGTTAGTGTTAATAAATTATATTGTTTATCACATATCTGAAGTCTGCATTTCCCTGCGTCAGTCACACACCTCTGGTCACACCTGGGAGCCCTGACATTACACCAAGGCCAATCCTGACCAGAAGTGGCTGCACAGGGAAGCCATCTTGGCTTGTTGCTGGGAAGGATGGATCTTGATGAGGTTGAGTATTTATCTCTGCTAGTGCTTGATGACAGAGAGTATGCTTATCAGACTCTGAAGGAGTATACCCGGGATGAACTGCTAGAATGTATACGGCTCGCTCATGTTCTAGTAGATCAGGGCACAGATTTCTCTATGGTGCAGCCATTGATTAAGGTTTGTGTTGAGTTGGTTTCATCTGGTACCCCTGAATGCAGGGATGAATTTTTGCCACCATTTAGTGCAGACCAGGTAGAGTCCCTGGTGTGGTTATTAGAGGATGATGTGGGTTACTTTCTGGAGCGTTATTCCACATGTTCACCACAGGTACTAAGAGATTGTATAAACGCAGTGCAGTCTTTGGTCAGACAGGCTTTGTTTAAGCTCAGCTTTGTTCAACCCATACTGCAGACATGGACAGACTTGTTGCACCCAGCCTCAGTCAGCTTACAAAGACCCAGTCCTGCTTCTAATCTATTTCCTCAAAGCTCTACTCCTGTATTCCCAACAACTCCCCCAGTTACAGCCCAGTATACTTGGCTGTCTACCGCATGTCAGTACCCTGTTCCCACTCGCTGCACCTATCCTGCCTTTAACCCTGTAAAAGAGCCCTCTGTAGCAACTGCTCCCTCTCCTGTTCCATCCTCCAGTTCTTCTCTGTCTCCAGCTGCTCCATTCGTTTGCAGACCTGCGTTTACTTGCAGTGCTCCAGTAGTTAAAACCGGAAAAAAGCGAAAATTCTTTCCAACCAATACCATCCTGCCAGTATCCAAACCGGTGAACCTGCCTTCCGTGGTTCAGCCTGAATCCTCTACTCAGCCTGAATCCTCTACTCAGCCTGATGCCTGTACTCAGCCTGATGCCTCTCTTCTGCCTGATGCCTCTCTCTGCCTGATGCCTCTCTTCTGCCTGATGCCTCTCTCTGCCTGATGCCTCTCTTCTGCCTGATGCCTGTACTCGGCCTGAAGCCTCTACTCGGCCTGAAGCCTCTACTCGGCCTGAAGCCTCTACTCAGCCGGACGCCGGCATTCAGCCTGATGCCTCTACCCAGCATGATGAACTGATCCAGCCTGACGATCCTATTAGGCTAGTTGACTCGATGCCCGCTGTTGATCCAGATGATCCGGTACCTGATCCGGTGCCCGCTATCGTGCCAATTGACTCAGAGCCCGCTGTCGTACCTGTGACTCGGTGCCCACTGCCTTGCCAGATGACGCGGTGCCCGCTGGCGAGCCAAATGACCTGATGCCTGGTGACCCAGGGCCCGTTGTCATACCTGGTGACCCGATGCCCGCTGTCGAGCCAGACGATCCAATGCCTGGTGACCCGGTGCCCCGCTGTCAAGCCAGACAATCCGGTACCTGATGACCCGGTGCCCACTGTCGTGCCTGTTGACTCGGAGCCCACTGCCTTGCCAGATGACGCGGTGCCCGCTGTCGAGCCAAATGACCTGATGCCTGGTGACCCGATGCCCGCTGTCCAGTCAGACGATCCAATGTCTGACCCAGAGCCCGCGGTCATACCAGTTGACTCGGAGCCCACTGCCTTGCCAGATGACGCGGTGCTTGCTGTTGAGCCAAATGACTTGATGCCTGGTGACCCGATGCCCGCTGTCCAGTCAGACGATCCAATGTCTGACCCAGTGCTCGCGGTCATACCAGTTGACTCGGAGCCCACTGCCTTGCCAGATGACGCGGTGCCCGCTGTCGAGCCAAATGACCTGATGCCTGGTGACCCGATGCCCGCTGTCCAGCCAGACGATCCAATGTCTGACCCAGTGCCAGCGGTCATGCCAGTTGACTCGGAGCCCACTGTCGTGCCTGGTGACTCGGTGCCCGCCGCTTCGCCTGGGGGCCCGAGACCTGTCGCTCCGCCTGGGGGTCCGGCGCCCGCCGCTCCGCCTGGGGGTCCGGCGCCCGCCGCCCCCGCCTGGGGGCCTGAGACCTGTCGCTCCGCCTGAGGGCCCGAGACCTGTCGCTCCACCTGGGGGTCCGGCGCCCGCCGCCCCGCCTGGGGGCCCGATGCCGGTTGCCCCGCCTGGGGGTCCGGCGCCCGCCGCTCCGCCTGAGGGCCCGAGACCTGTCGCTCCACTGGGGGTCCGGCGCCCGCCGCTCCGCCTGAGGGCCCGAGACCTGTCGCTCCACCTGGGGGTCCGGCGCCCGCCGCTCCGCCTGAGGGCCCGAGACCTGTCGCTCCACCTGGGGGTCCGGCGCCCCGCCTCTCCGCCTGAGGGCCCGAGACCTGTCGCTCCATCTGGGGGTCCGGCGCCCGCCGCTCCGCCTGGGGGCCCGATGCCTGTCGCCCCGCCTGGGGGTCCGGCGCCCGCCGCTCCGCCTGGGGGCCCGATGCCTGTCGCCCCGCCTGGGGGTCCGGCGCCCGCCGCCGCCCCGCCTGGGGGCTCGGCACCCGCCGCTCCGCCTGGGGGCCCGATGCCTGTCGCCCCGCCTGGGGGCCCGGGCGCCTGTCGCCCCGCCCGGGGGCCCGGCGCCTGTCGTCCCGCCCGGCGCCTGCTGCCCCCGCCCGGGGGCCCGGCGCCTGCTGCTCCGCCCGGGGGCCCGGCGCCTGCTCCGCCCAGGGGCCCGGTGCCTGCTGCTCCGCGCGGGGGCCCGGTGCCCGCTGCTGCTGGTGGCCCGGTGCCTGGTGGCCCGGGTAATCTGCTGTGCTCGCCTGAGTAATCCGATGTGCCTCTGCCCGGAGTCCTGCCCGATGTGCCTCTGCCCGGAGTCCTGCCCGATGTGCCTCTGCCCGGAGTCCTGCCCGATGTGCCTCTGCCCGATGTGCCTCTGCCCGATGTGCCTCTGCCCGGAGTCCAGCCCGATGTGCCTCTGCCCGGAGTCCAGCCCGATGTGCCTCTGCCCGGAGTCCAGCCCGATGTGCCTCTGCCCGGAGTCCAGCCCGGTGCCTCTGCCCGGAGTCCAGCCCGATGTGCCTCTGCCCGGAGTCCAGCCCGTGCCGCTGCCCGGAGTCCTGCCCGGTGTGCCAGTCTTTGATATCCCGCCAGTTACCAGACCCGGGCGGTGGAACATTTTGCCCAGCTAGGACTGTTTGGAGCGTCCTGAGGCCGCTCCTTGAGGGGGGGGGGGGGTACTGTCAGGAATGGACTGGCCAGCAATGGTGGGACTCACCTGCCTTTTGATCTGCAGTACCAGGGCTGGCCAGCGGGTGCTCCCAGCAATCAGAGACTCAACCTTTCAGCCAGCTAACACCTGGAACTGATGATACTGGTGTATTTAAGGGATGGCCAGACTTGCAGACTCTGCCTTGGTGTTGTGTTTGTCCTGGGCCCTGTATCTGTCCTGCATCCTGTTTCTGTTCCTTTGCTGACCCTGCCTGATCTGAACCGCTGCTGACTTCTCCTGCTCTGATCCCGGCTCGCTCCTGACCATCCCTCTGCCTGACCCTCTGTACCACGCTGCTTGCTACCTGCTCTGATCCCTGGCTTGTGACCCTGACCATCCCTCTGCCTGACCCTCTGTACCACGCTGCTTGCTACCTGTTCTGATCCCTGGCTTGTGACCCTGACCATCCCTCTGCCTGACCCTCTGTACTACGCTGCTAGCTACCTGCTGAACCTGGCCTGTGACCCCGACCCATCTCCGCTTGCTCCCCCTGTACCTATCTGCCCTATTGATATTGACCCGGCCTGCCTGACGACGCTTGCTTGTATGTACTGTTATCTGTGGGTGGTTGGTTTGGTTTGTTTGCACTGTATTATGTTTTAGTATTGCACTGCGTTTATGTTTGTATGGTTAGTGTTAATAAATTATATTGTTTATCACATATCTGAAGTCTGCGTTTCCCTGCGTCAGTCACACACCTCTGGTCACACCTGGGAGCCCTGACAGACATTTATTATTTATTTTTTTCAGGTACTTATATAGTGCTGTCAATTTATGCAGTGCTTTACATATATATTGTATATTCACATCTGTCCCTAACAGGGGTGGACTGACAACTCATGGGGCCCCCGGGCAATAGGGGATCATGGGGCCCCTGTGTCCTGCCCAAACTCAAAAAAGCTTATGAAAAAGGTACCAGGAGCATCTCATGGGGCCCCCTACTGACCCCAGGCCCTTGGGCAGTGCCCAAGTTTCCAAATGGTCAGTCCGCCCCTGGTCCCTAACCCTCAAGGGGTATACAATGTAAGGTCTCTAACTTACATTCATACACATACTAGGGCCAATTTAGATAGGATCCAATTAACCTACCAGCATGTCTTTGGAGTGTGGGAGGAAACCGTGGTACCGAGAGGAAACCCACGCAGGCACAGGGAGAACATGCAAACTCCAGGCAGATGGTGCTGTGGTTGGGATTCAAACCAATGACACTAGTACTGCCAATAGCTAAAATATTGTTCTGGAGATTTTGCCTTGTTTAGTTTGTGGAACCCTGTACAGAACCTGTAAATAGACTTGTAAATAGCACCAATAAACACTGCACTGATTGTCAGTTCACTGGACTGGTATCTGTGCCTGAAAGTGTGCTCACCCCACGGAGCTTTGTACCTGCTACCTATCCCTAGATCACAACAGAAACAAAATTGCAACATCTTTTAGACTATGGAAGTCAAACCCCTTGCTTGCTAAAAAATGAACACAAAATAAATACACCTCAGAGCTGGACCTTCTTTCCATGGCTGTGGCTGGGAAGCTGCTGAGATGGTCCATACAAAATACCATGCATCTGCTAATAAACCTGGCCATATGCTGACTACTTGATTGAACTCTTCCCAGAAACCTTTTGCCTCAATTACATTTCTCACTACCTCCAGAGACCTTACTCTAACCTAACTAATATAGTTGTGATTTTTGTGGACAGGGTGTTGCCATCCTATACCAGGGACATCCTAAACAAGCACCTTCATGACAGGATCACAAGGCATACTTTAAATGAAAGAGTTAAAAATAATAAAATGACATGAACAAGATAAAGCTTATATGAGATTGTAATGATTGAGTTTATACCTACTTTAACTTACCATCTAACTTCACATACCCTTGATTTATAGGTCACCTTTGGGAACATGTAACATGTTCCGCCTGTTTTTAAGGTGGAACATTTAACATGTTCCCAGTGCTGCAGCCGCTGTCCAATCCCCCTTCCCACCCATGACAGCAGTACGGAAAGAAGGTCCCCATACTAGCTATCACTTTTTAAAAACAGTGTGGCCGTGTGGCACTCCTCCCACACAGCCGCGTCATTCATTCACAGAGTTCTGTGAATGAATTAACTACAAGTCCTGACAGCCTTAGCGGCTGTCAGGGCTTGTTGTCCTCAATGAACTACCACGGCCAGGGGCGGACTGACAACTCATGGGGCCCCCGGGTAATAGGGGATCATGGGGCCCATGTGTCCTTGCCCAAACTCAAAAAAGCCTATAAAAAAGGTACCAGGGGCATCTCATGGGGCCCCCTACTAACCCCGGGCCCTCGGGCAGCGCCCAAGTTTCCAAATGGTCAGTCCACCCCTGACCACAGTGCTGTGGAGTGCTGTGGTAGTTCATCGATGCTTCTTGTGAGTATTTCTGCTTGCCCGTACATCCTGCACGGGCAAGCATATATACTGACAGGTCCTCAGGAGACCTGCATGGCACCAGTGATCTGCTGATTGCTGGTGCAATGCTTTACAGGCTCCTGCAACAAAAAATAATAAATGCACATTTTTTACATGCCAAAAAATGTGTATTTATTATTTTTTGCCAAATAAAATTTGTCAAATATCCTTTAAAGCTGGAAAATAAAAAGGATCCCTTGCTGTGGGGCTATGACCGCACTGCAGGTGTGAAATGCTCATTTAGGTGTAGGGGCTGGAAAACCACTTTTACTTACCCAATTTTCTTCTCCCACAGGCTACTCTCTTTTAGGTCTAGGGGCTGGAAAACCACTTTTACTTACCCACTCTCTTCTCCACACTACTAAACCAGTGCCTACAGCTTCTTCTTTTCTATGTTGCTCTGATCACAGGCCCTCTGACGTCATCATGTACAATTCAGAGCCCATAGCCCTGTATTGGATACAAGGACTCCAAGGAACAGTCCACCGCTGGAGCATAGGGTAGAGGAGGAGAGTGCCGGCACTTGGGGAAAGGAGACTTGGGTAAGTAAAAACTGCTCTTCCTAGTCCTCTAGATCTAAACAAGGGTTATCTCCTGCAGTGTGAGGAGCACAAATGCAAGGAAGGATTTATACTTTCTACTTGAACTCCTAAATCTATCATAGACCTAACTAATAACCTAAAGCCTAATAGTAAATTAACCCTACAAGAGAATACTTACCCTACTGGGCACCTGAAACTTGAACTATTGGACCCAGGGGCGGACTGACCATTCGAACACTCGGGCACTGCCCGAGGGCCCGGGTCAGTAGAGGGCCCCATGAGATGCCACTGGTACCTTTCATTGGCTTTTTCATAGGCTTTTTTGGGTGTTGGTGAGGACACAGGGGCCCCATGATCCCCTATTGCCCATGAGTTGTCAGTCCACCCCTGATTGGACCACAACCCTAACAGTCTCACCACAAGATCTCCCACCAACAAGGCAATATTTTAAAACTTAGCATTTTTTGGATTCTGCATTAGAGTAGACATGGTTTTAAACCAGTTTTTAAAGTGAGGGATAAAGTAGAAAACTGAAGTGTTGCACCTTGTATATTCTTTGCATAATAAGCTTGAATCAAATGTGTGCCTAAGACTGTTGTAAGTATGCATTTATGCCAAGTTATAAATACTTCAGTAGTGATTTCATATGTTTACTTCATTTATTAAATAGTGATAAAAAGCAGAAGTACATTTGTGTATGTGTCAGACACAATGTAATAAACCCTTTGGCTGGCTCCACATCTTTGTGCTTGTGGTAATGTGCAATAAAACCAACATTTTTCAAGTGACCCTGTAACCACAGAATCACTTTAAGCCAAGAGGTCTCCCGTAAAGAAACATTTATATACTTACTTTTCCAGGTGCTGGTGTATTGAAAAGGTGCAGCATCTCCATTCCGCAGCTGCTGCAAGTATTTGACTGAAGGGTAATTGAATACTAGCTCCGCAGCCAGCTGCTGTGGTCCCTTCCAACAGCTTGTGTGTCCTGTAATGGCGTCCAAGCTGGACGAAGGAACCACAGTGGCCAGAGGTTGGAGCAAGTATTCTAACACACAAGGAGATGTAGAATACTTGCAAAGGCTAGGGCATAGATAAGGGTTGATGAGAAACTAGAAAATTACACCTGCATTTACTAAAAGGATGATCAGCATTGATACTAAAAAATCCAGCTGTATTGCAAAATATTTAAGACCTGTGTTGAAAATTTTAGTTTGCTGTCAATGGCACCAAAGACTGGTATTTAGTAGAGGAGTGAGGAGTAGGAGACCCCTAACAAATGAATCAAACTCAAGTTTACTAAGTGAGCAATAGAGGAGTTGGTCTAGGTCAGGGATGGGCAAACTTTTTTACTTGAGGGCCGCAATGGGTTCATATATTGGACCCGAGGGCCGGACCAAGAGTAGATGAATGATGTGTATGTGTCATCCATAGTAAGTATAGTAATATTCCCCCATAGTAAGCATAGTAATTAATCCCCCATATAGTAATTCATCCCCCATAGTAATTAATCCCCCATATAGTAATTAATCCCCCATATAGTAATTCATCCCCATAGTAATTCATCCCCCATAGTAATTCATCCCCCCTATAGTAATTCATCCCCCATAGTAATTCATCCCATATAGTAATTCATCCCCAATATAGTAATTCATCCCCCATAGTAATTCCCCCCATATAGTAATTCGTCCCCCATATAGTAATTCGTCCCCCATAGTAATTCATCCCCCATATAGTAATTCATACCCCATATAGTAATTAATCCCCCATAGTAATTCATCCCCCATATCGTAATTCATTCCCCATATAGTAATTCATCCCCCATATTAAGTCCCCAAGTCCCCCCTGTGTCAATTCACTTACCTTTGCTCCGCGCGTTCCTCTCGCCGTGTTCCCGCACCGTTCCGGTGTAGCATGAAAATCTGTCTCCTATGAGGATCTGTCCCCCTCGACGTATCTGCGCATGTGCCAGTTTCAGGCATTAGCAGCCGATCGGCGATCTCCGGCACATGCGCAGATACGTCGAGGGGGACAGATCCTCATAGGAGACAGATTTTCATGCTACACCGGTCTTCAGGGCGGACTGTGAGAGGAGCCTAGCGGGAGCCTAGCTCCGCGGGCCGGATTAAAAGGTCCGCCGGGCCGTATACGGCCCGCGGGCCGTAGTTTGCCCATTGCTGGTCTAGGTACAAAAAGCTTGATTAATATGATGAAGTACAGTTCTTAACCAGTTTCAAACAGGAAGGAAAAATAAAGAATAACACCACAAAGTCCTAATAAGGTACAATAACTGTCCAGATAGCTGACCCAGTATTCCACTTGAACTGGCTACTTACCAAGTTGAATCCACCCCTCTTGATTTGAGCACACTCTTAACTCAACGGGAAGGGTAATGAGAAAAATCTCAGATTCCTTGGCACTCTGCAAACTGAAGACTGAGAACTGAGTGATCAGTGGTGTTTGATTGCTCAGTTCTCGATCTTAGAGAAAGCAGGGGACAGCTGCAGCTGGGACCAGTGTTGCAGCCATCTGCACTCACTGGCCACTTTATTAAGTACACCTGTCCAATTGCTTGGTAACACAAATTGCTAATCAGCCAATCGCATGGCAGCAGCTCAATGCATTTAGGCATCTAGACGTGGTGAAGACGACTTGCTGAAGTTCAACCGAGCATCAGAATGGGGAAGAAAGGGGATTTCACTGACTTTGAACGTGGCATGGTTTTGGTGCCAGATGGACTGGTCTGAGTATTTAAAAAACTGCTGATCACTGGGATTTTCACAAACAACCATCTCTAAGGTTTACAGAGAATGGTCCGAAAAAGAGAAAATATCCAGTGAGCAGCAGTTGTGTGGATTAAAATGCCTTGTTGATGTAAGAAGTCAGAGGAGAACGGGCATTCGATTGCAGCTGTGACATTAAGATGGAAGCATCAAAATTTGGCGTAAACATGAAAGCATGGATCCATCCTGTCTTGTATCATGGGTTCAGGCTGGTAGTGGTGGTGAAATGGTATGGGGGATATTTTCTTGGCAGTAGCAAGGTGTACCTAATAAAGTGGCCTTTGAGTGTAGGTGAGTATGATTGATTGTTTTTTTTTTTTTAATTCCCAACATAGTGTTTCTAATGGCTCTCAGAATATCATCGCATATGACGTGATAGCGATGAGACATTTCATTCAAAACCTTGTCTGCCGAGATGAGAAAACCTAAAGCGATTTCACAATGTCCAGCATTAATGTCATTCTACTGTCCCCCTAATGAGTAATTCTATTGCTCTCTAAATTATTTTGCCACCTCTCCTAAAGAAAAACATTTCAGCTTGCCTCATGCACGTCCATGTTAACACCTCCAATTTTCCTTTCTTCCAATTTAGAGCTCGAGGCTCATCCATGTAGACGTTCATTCCTTCACAGACTCCCAGAAGTGTCTGTCTGGTTCCTACGTCCACTCTGTTCTATCTGAGCTGAGCAGTGCGGTGTGATGTAGTGCTCTGTGGTGTTTGCGGCTTTGTATTTTATGTTTATTTGTATCTGGAAGACAGCCAAGATGAGAGCTTGGACCAATGAAGAAGTGCATCTGTTTACCAACCTTCCATGGTAAATCCCCTGTTTAAAGGGGTTTATTACTTATTTATTTTAACTAAATGTTAAGTGGATCGTGTAAAGAACATGTTGTTCCATACTCTCCTTTATTAATCTCAGTGGGAATTGAAAATAGTGCGTATTCTATATTATTTAAAGTGACCCCACCACTTCAGGACAAAATGAAACCATCCTTGTATGAAGAAATTCTGTATAGCTACCTTTCTGGTGGCCTGTGTCTTAAAAGTCCTTTGCTTTTCTGATCGTCGGTCACTTCCCGGTATGTCTTAGTTACATACTTAGTCTGGCTGACAAAAGACAAAAGTCCATCCAGGTCAACCATTAAAAAAATAATAAAAAAAAATACTTGCTGTCACTTCTTAAAAACAGTGCGACTGAAGCGGGGCTCCGCCCACACAGCTGCATCATTCATTCAGTGTTCTGTGAATGAATGGACTACAAGTCTACCACACAGCGCTAGGGTAGTTAATTATATAGTTAGTCTGGTTGAAAAAAGACAAAATGTATCCAGTTCAACCATTAAAAAAAAAAAATTCTAATCCTACACCCACAGTTGATCCAGAGAAAGCAAAAAAAAAACCCAGCAAAGCATGATGCAATTTGCTCCTGCAGGGAAAAAATATTCCTTCCTGATCCCCCGAGAGGCAATCAGATATTCTCTGGATCAACTTTACCTATAAATTTTAGTATCCAGTTAGTGTATTTTTCGCTCCATAAGACACACCTGACCATAAGACGCACTTAGGATTTAGAGGAGGAAAACAAGAAAAAAAATAATCTGAACCAATGGACTGCAGATCTAGTACTGGAAATGACCAGAGACTGCGGATGTACTACAGGAGATGACCAGAGACTGCGGATGTACTACAGGAGATGACCAGAGACTGCGGATGTACTACAGGAGATGACCAGAGACTGTGGACATAGTACAGGAGATGACCAGAGACTGCAGACACAGTACAGGAGATGGCCAGAGACTGCAGACACAGTACAGGAGATGACCAGAGACTGCGCACATAGTACAGGAGATGACCAGAGACTGCGGACACAGTACAGGAAATGGCCAGAGACTGCAGACACAGTACAGGAGATGGCCAGAGAATGCAGACACAGTACAGGAGATGACCAGAGACTGCGCACATAGTACAGGAGATGACCAGAGACTGCGCACATAGTACAGGAGATGACCAGAGACTGCGGACACAGTACAGGAGATGACCAGAGACTGCGGACATAGTACAGGAGATGACCAGAGACTGCGGACACACTACAGGAGATGACCAGAGACTGCAGACACAGTACAGGAGATGACCAGAGACTGCAGACATAGTACAGGAGATGACCAGAGACTGCGAACACACTACAGGAAATGGCCAGAGACTGCAGACACAGTACAGGAGATGACCAGAGACTGCAAACACAGTACAGGAGATGACCAGAGACTGCGGACACTGTACAGGAGATGACCAGAGACTGCGCACATAGTACAGGAGATGACCAGAGACTGCGCACATAGTACAGGAGATGACCAGAGACTGCGGACACAGTACAGGAGATGACCAGAGACTGCGCACATAGTACAGGAGATGACCAGAGACTGCGGACACAGTACAGGAGATGACCAGAGACTGCGCACATAGTACAGGAGATGACCAGAGACTGCGGACATAGTACAGGAGATGACCAGAGACTGCGGACACACTACAGGAGATGACCAGAGACTGCGGACACTGTACAGGAGATGACCAGAGACTGCGGACATAGTACAGGAGATGACCAGAGACTGCGGACACTGTACAGGAGATGACCAGAGACTGCGGACATAGTACAGGAGATGACCAGAGACTGCAGACACAGTACAGGAAATGACCAGAGACTGCGGACATACTACAGGAGATAGTAACTAGAGGGTCGCCCCGCGCTGAGATGGAAAATACAAATATATAGCGACTACCCGCAGCTAAACACCTAATCCTAAACCTGTAGGTAAATAGTTATTAATAAAGAAAATGGTGTAGTGCTCAGTAACAGATAAATTGCATAATATAGAAAATATACAATAAATAAATAAATAACGGTTACACTATGTGCTCCAAACACAACTCAGGTCACGGCAGACCTAATAGGTGACTACAGTGAACCCAATCCCATGGAGGGATCAAAATAGAGGTGACCCTTTGTCCCCACAGTTGGGACTATATCCCGAAAAAAACACGTGGATCCCTGTGGAGGGATAGGTGCTTGTCATATGCACCAAGTATAACACAGATGTATAACCAAGTCCAACAATGTAAGTGAATGTGTAGACACAGCTGCAGTACTCCAATCTTCTATAACATGCAGAAACGATCGTGACCCATCAATAGGTGCTCTCCAAAAAATGGCTGCAGTGGCCTCTCACCTCCACTCATCGACCCCTAAGGGCCATAGAGCCTTATGGATCTCTCCTTGATCCTTCTGATATGGAACCTCCTGGTGGTCTAGTTTCCTGGCTGTAACAGGTTTTATGCCAACCCAGTATCTTCACTAGAAACCCCGCCAGGTCAGTAGGTAGACAGGCACAGGGATACTTGAAGAATATTCAATTCAGCAGGCCCACTCCGGCTTGTTTCCTGCAAAATATCAAATCTGTCCGGAGCTGTGAGAGTGAGTGTATTCTCTCTCACTAGGGGGGAGGTTGCCAGTGTATGGGGGGCGGTGGTAGTGGAAGGCTCTTTCAGGTGGGGGTGAGAGCTGGGGTGTTGTTGGTCAATGTCAGGCTCTCTTTGTGGGGGAGGGGGTGCTGGTCGGTGTCAGGGTCTCTCCGTGGTGGTGGGGGGGGGGCAATTTTTGTATTGCCTAGGGCAGCACGAAACCTAAATATACCACTGTGCCCAGTGTGCATGGAGCCTAAAAACATGTAACATGTTCCCAAAGGTGAACTTATCCTTTAACCACTTGCCCTCCAGAAGATTTACCCCCCCCCCTCCTAACCAGGCCAATTGTGTCATGCAATGCTGTACATAAATAAAATGTATGTCATTTTTCCCCCCCACAAATAGGGCTTTCTTTTGGTAGTATTTGATCACCTCTGTGTTTTTTTATTTTTTTTCACTACAAACAAAAAAAAAAGACTGACAATTTTGAAAAACCCCCCAAATATTTTTGACTTTTTTCTATAAAACATATCCAATCAGAGAATAAAAAAATACAATTTTGTCATAAATTTAGGCCAAAATGTATTCTGCTACATGTCTTTGCTAGACAAAATCTCAATACGTGTATATTATTTGGTTTATGTGAAATTAATAGCGTCTACAAATGGTGGTGTATAAATACTGAATTTTTTTTCACTGTACTAGTAATGGCTGCGATCAGCGACTTATAGCGGGACTGTGACGGGCATTCTGACACTGGGGGGGAACTGACTAACTGCCACTGACATCTCCAGTGACCAGGGGCGGACTGACAACTCATGGGGCCCCCGGGCAATAGGAAATTATGGGGCCCCTGTGTCCTTGCCCACACTCAAACCACACCCCAAAAAAGCCTATGAAAGGTACCAGGGGCATCTCATGGGGCCCCCTACTGACCCTGGGCCCTCGGGCAGTGCCCGGATGGTCAGTCTACCCCTGTCAGTGATGCACTATACAGTGATCAGTGCTAATAAGCACTGACACTGTACTAATGGGCAGGAAGGAGTTAACATCTGGGGCGATCAAAAGGTTAACTGTGTGTTAGGGAGTGATTTTATTGTGTACTGTGTTGTGTTTTACTAAGCAGACCTGCTGCTTTCAATCTCTCTGCTGTGCAGAGATAGAAAGCAGTATGTCCATGCTGACAGGAGAGAGATCTGTGTTCTTTACACACAGATCTCTCCCCTTTTAGCTTCGCAGACAATTGCCAAGTCCCACCCGAAAATTGGCAGCCGGGACCTGGTGATTGACATCCTCAGGAGCCAATAGCAGCACAGGTAGGGTGGCGCCCCCTACCTGGAAATACAAAATCACATATATTTATGTGATGGTGCCCAGTGAAGCTGCCCTGTAGCAGTACACCTGCTATGGGGCAGTGGGCAAGTGGCTAAAAAGGAAGAAATACATTTTTTCATAAAAAAAAACAATAGCAGTTGTTTATGTTCCACAATGCTTTGGCAAACTAAATGTCATTCAGTTAGGATCTACATCTACTTTACATTCTATGCAGTTCTGTAAAATATGCATTTCCCATAAACAATACATAGCCTCTATTAAATTATGTTAGAAAAAAAGCATTTTTATGGAACCAATCCTTGTCAGTCAGCATTTCTTTTTGCTATTTCCTCTTATAGTTTTCCCTTAAAAGAAAAGTGCTGAATCATGAAGAATACACGATGCTGGTGGCGGAATGACATAGGAAAGTTAACAATACTTTGATTACTTACTTACAATGTCCCTTGTCAGTACATGAGTCAGAGTCAGGCACACTGAGGTCAGGGATATTATAAAGACAGGCAGTAGATTCAGTGGTATGTCAGCACAATGCTAACTCATAGGACACCCGCATACTGATGAGATCAGTGATAGAGAACCCTTTTCATTTTGTAGGTCTCAGATACAGCCGTTGACTCCTCCACATGTGATATTACTGATAAGTTTGCTGCTAATAAGAGGGAATGTAGTTTATTTGGTCTCTGAATGCAAAGCCTTCTCTGACTGGATAAGGTGAAGATCATGACGCCACTGCCTCGCCTGACAATCTATTCTATTCAGAGAACACTTCGCATTCATTAACCCCTTAAGGCTCGCGCCTCCTGGCCCTTTAAGAGGCTTCTGATGGTGGGAGGCAGGGCTTCTGATCATTTGATCGCCATGATTGGTTGTCACAGTGGTCACATGACAAAAGTAGAGATCAGGAGTTTTCCGTTAGCTGCCATTAACTGTGTCAGGAGTGCCCAGGGGTGCTGTATCAGCACGGCTCTGTTTCATTCTGGTACTCATATTTGAGGCCTCTCGGCATTGAGGCCCACCCGCCGAGACGCCGCTTCTATGCGTACCGCCAGCGTTAAGAAGTTAAGAAAATGCTAAGTTGTAACAGTGATATCCAGCTTCCAAGAGGATTTCACAGGTATGACACATACATACTGTGGTCTAAGCTGGTCCAATCTAACTATATATAAACTGCCATACCTGGAATTCATCTTTAACAGCTTCCCGTTCACCCTATAGTAGAAGTACTGCAACAGGGTGGCACGGGTGCGCAAAATCACGTATATATATGTGTGCATGTGCCCCCTACCCAGGGGCGGACTGACAACTCATGGGGCCCCCAGGCAATAGGGGATCATGGGGCCCCTGTGTCCTTCCCCAAACTCAAAAAAGCCTATGAAAAAGGTACCAGGAGCATCTCATGGGGCCCCCTACTAACCCCGGGCCTCAGGCAGTGCCCGAGTTTCCAAATGGTCAGTCTGCCCCTGCCCCTACCCGTGCCGGCATTCTTGGCCTTGACTGTCAATCACCAGGTCACGACCGGTGATTACTCGCTGGCACCCGGTGATTGCCAAGCATCTCCGACGGGGGTGAGAACTCTTTGGAAATAATACAGTTCTCTCCCCTGTCAGCTCCTGCACACTGCTTTGCATGGCTGTGCATAACACAGCCATGGAAAGCAGTGTGCTTACAGTGAAGCACACACAGGACACAATGTAAACCAGCACACTGTTAACCCTTTGATCGCCCCACATGTTTATCCCTTCCTGCTGAGTGCCATTAGTACAGTGTTAGTGCTTTTTATTAGCACTGATCACTGTATTGGTGTCACTGGGGATATCAGTGACACCAAGTCAGTTCCCCCCAGTGTCAGAATGCCTGCCGCAGTCCCACTATAAGTCGCTGATCGCCACCATTACTAGTAAAAATTAAAAAAAAAAATTAAAATCCAGTATATATACCACCATTTGTAAACGCTATAACTTTCATGTAAAAATTAATTTACACGTATTGGGATTTTTAGCAAAGACATGTAGCAGAATAAATTTTGGCCTAAATTTATGATGAAATTAGATTTTTTACAATTTTTTACTGGACATGTTTAAAAGCAAAAAGTCAAAAATGTTGTTTTTATTTCTGATAATTGACACTTTTTTTTTTATAGCGCAAAAAATACCACCAAAAGAAAGCTCTATTTGTGGAAAAAAAATGTAAATTTCATTTGGGTGCAACGCTGCATGACCGCGCGCAATTGTCAGGTAAAGTTACGCAGCACCATAACGCAACAAATGGCCTGGTCAGGAAGGGGGGTAAATCCTCAGGAGGGCAAGTGGTTAATAACATTGCTATGTTTACACAGTAATATATTTTGGATCATAACATTTTTAGGGCGTTTGCTGAACTGAAGAGGTGTACTGTAAACTCTACTCCCACCTAACTGATTGTAAGGATGTACAAGTCACCCTGGGTTCAGCTTGTAGGTTGACTGGCAAACTCATTATAAAATCCAGAAACTGAAAAAATTTAATCTGAACCCCACTGAAGTCAATGAGAGGAGGGGAGAAAAACATTTCTGGCCATTCCCAGGAGTAATAGGCAATGGATTG